TTTCCTTGTCTGTTACATTCATTAAAACATGCATAAAACTTCTGATACGATATATATACATATATATATATATATATATATATATAGAGAGAGAGAGAGAGAGAGAGAGAGAGAGAGAGAATATCAAATCCGTAAGTGGAGATGATAATCGAAGTAGGTCTTTTTAATATAACAATATTAAATTGATAGATCCATGAAGAGAACTCATTGTATAAAAATACAACGCAATATGATATACACCAAAGTAAAAAAACTTAACACATCATCAAAAATTTATTACTGGATTTTTCGATGATGTTATAAGTGTTTTTTTTATATATATATATGATCTATCAAAATGCAAGTATATGAGATCGGAAAAAAGCCTTCCCAAATTGAGGACAGCGAGCTGGAGTTTAATTATATATTTGGGAAAGATTTATTCCCAAAAGGAAACGGCACTGTGAGCTGCTGGGGAGGTAGATTTAGCCTCATCACCGCCCGGGGTGGGCTAAAGAAAGCCACCTTTCGGTTTCACTGCTGTAAATCGAACTGAATTTCACATCCGCTTTCGTCACTGCATGGAGTGACGTCATTGAACGCTCCGTCACGTTAACCATATGACTTATCTCCACCAAAGGAACATAAGTGCCTTCTGTGTCCCTACAATAGATTAAAGAGACAAATTTGAGTTTATAATATTCTCAGAAAGAAACTGAGCGTGTAGAATAGACGGCAATGTGTTACAATATATATATATATATAGTTATGAAAAACTTGGTAATCCGTATGGGTAGTCACAAGAAGGATGAAATTCTGAGAGCTCAATGTAAATCCAGAGCTAATAATTTAAAGAAAAACAGACCACTTTAAGGTTCCATTATAATAATTTATTTCACCAGAGCCCTTTTAAAGAACGCTGGATCATCAGATAACACTTCCAAAAAATGAAATAAATTATTATAATGGAACCTTAAAGTGGTCTGTTTTTTTTTAATATATATATATATATATATATATATATATATATATATATATATATATATATATATATCCATTATTTTATTATATATATTGGTACATGTAATATTAATTTTAATTTTAACTATTTCCTTATATTAAGGGCCATTGAATAAAATAAGTCTTGTAGTTTAGATTCAAAATTATATATGATTTAATCATACTAGAGCCCTCTTTTATGATTGTTCTTAAGTATATATGAAAATAATTTTAAAAAACTAAATTTAACCTATTGTTATATATATATATATATATATATATATATATATATATATATATATATATATACTCATACATATCGGATTATTTCATTGTATCCTAAAAGTATATTCTTGACCAGATGTACGGTGTCGCGTCTTAATATGACAGTTCCTCGAGATATGTATGAATACCACAATACCCCTAACATCTAACCTATATTTTTAACTTTTCTGCTTTAGTTTTGACCTGTCTTTTGATTGGTCAGTAGTGACATACACATAAGATTTTAAACTCTTGATCTCTCCTCCTTCTTTACCCTTTAATAAGCAAACGTATTGTTTTCTGTTTTCAAATGTAAATCATTTTCATCAAAAGTTACTGAACATTGCCTGATGAAGTCCCGAAATATAGAAACAGAGAAATTTTTGTGTTGCAATGTAAAATATTTTTAATAAATCGTTATATTGAGCACTTCTTTAAAAAAAAGTAAAGAAATCTTTTAGTTCTTTCTCTTTATTTGTATATATATATATATATATATATATATATATATATAGTGGGTAGCAAAAATATTTAACACATTGGTTTTTCTTACATATCTCAAAAAATAACAGATCAATTTCAACGAAACTTATAGGAAATATTTAAACGAACATTGTCGATCAAAACATAGAAGGAAAATTTAAAACCACTGTTTTGAGAAACAAAATATATATATATATACGCACACACACGATGGACTCGCTCCCATCGATTTCGACGTATGAGAATCAGACTACATCATTCAGTTTTTATGTTTGTGTCGTATGTGACACTTCCGTCCCGCTAAGTGACCTGTATACAGGAAGTACGCGCATTGTGCAACAACAAGAATCTCGGGACACGGCAACAGGAATATTTGCTGATACTTTTCGTCGTTTTTTTTTTGTCTCTTAGCCGGTCAATACGACTTATTTAAAAAATTCTAATACAACTCTAGCACAAATATCTACAGTCATTTTTATCCAGGGCAACTTTGAATGAGCCATATTGACAGCTGAGAGGTTACTCTTTAGCCAGTCTCTATATCTGAGCTACGGCTGTCCAGTCTCTGTCCTTTGTCAAAATAATATAAGGTTCATTAGTTTAAAAAAAAATAAAGCATTAAGAGGTTATTTGATAAAAATCACCTGATAATACCGTAAGGTTGAAACCAATGTAGCAGATTTAACTGACCTCCAGATTTTATATATATATATATATATGTGTGTGTGTGTGTGTGTGTGTGTGTAAAACACAATAGGAAAACTGTAATGGTAGCCGACGCGTTTCGTCAATGTGGACTTTTTCAAGGCAAAAACGTCGTATGTATGTGTGTGTTTTTGCCTTGAAAAAGTCCACATTGGACGAAACGCGTCGGCTACCATTACAGTTTTCCTATTGTGTTTTACATTTATAATTATTGTCTTTTTCTACAGATTAACTCTGAGAAATGTTTCATATATATATATATATATATATATACACTTGAGAGAGATATGAAATTAACCCCACCCTATACTCTACCTTGTCTCTTTAACTATCCCTCTCACACCCCCTGTTAAATTACAAAAACTTACACGACCCATCAATTTTAATCTCATTTTTCGCTTCATTTCGTTGTTGGAAATGTTACCTGATGATCCGGCCTCCTTTTAAAAGGACTCTGGTGAAATAAATTATTGTAATGGTACCTTAAAAATGGTCTGTTTTTCTTTTAAATATATATATATATATATATATATATATATATATATATATATATATATATATATATATATAAATTAAATTAAAGAAACAATAGCAAAAACAAACCGGGCCTAAGAGAAAGAAAAAGTATAAAATCTGCCTTAATTTAGCAAGATACGTAATGCTCTGTATGCTAGACCCGAGTTTTTAAAATTTTAAAACAATCTAGAGGGTGAAAATCCAATTCAAAATAGAGACACTAACTTCACAACTTTACCTTTACTAAGAGTTTAATGTCTCATTGATTAATTTAGACTAGTTTTGTCTACTTATTGTCAGTGGGATCATATTTACGGACAAGCTTCTTAGTATCCTTATTAAAAGAAGAAAGAAAATTACCATGTTGTTACATATATATTTATTCCGAGTACTTTCGACTTTAGAACAATGTGATCATCAGGGTGTTGTATTTTTTTACAAGACAAAATTGTTGTGTTCATGTGAAAGTTAATTCTTTTTAACTGTGAAATGAAAAACGCTAAGGTTATGTACTGTTCGATTTAAATTTCGCGATGTATACGTCAGGGGAGGTAACTATGTTTTGAAATTTCAATATGTTAAAAAATAGACTTAGTTTAAACCTAGATATTTTAAACTATCTACCGTAAATATTTTAAAACATTTGTTCAGTATTCATAATTAATTTTATTAAGGGTTGATATCAATTTTTAATATAGATAACTTCAAGAATTCTTTAGTCTATGTTTATTATTTTCATGAAAATTATTCTCAACAAGTATTTTCCTAAATTGTGAAGGTGGACTGACATGTTGTTGTAAATGTTGTAAATCTAGACAACGTAGTTTTGGTGTGACCAACATATATATTATTTTTTTCTGTTGGAGATACAATCCTCCAAGGCACATTTAAATTTACATACAATGTTGGTTTTCTGCAGCATGTTATTTGGAGGCGTGGAGGTGTCATTACAAATTATTAAATTGGATATATTGAATTTAGTATAGTATATAATTAATTTTTTTTTGTTTTTTTTACTAGGATCTGTGTTGTATATATTAGTTCTATATGATATACTAGTTTTCATGAGATTTTCGTCTTGTTTATAATTAGAATGTATTTCATTACGGTATAAATGATTAATATATTTAGGGTTAATTGAAGAAGTATTATATTCTATTTGCTTTGTATTAAAATTTCTAATACAATAGATAGATAGATAGATAGATAGATAGATAGATAGATAGATAGATAGATAGATCTCAAGAGACTGAGATAGATAGATAGATAGATAGATAGATAGATAGATAGATAGATAGATAGACAGATAGATATGTACAGACTGAATGAATGTATTAATGAAAACATGCTGCCAAAATATACATATATGTGTGCGTGTGTTTGTGTGTGTGTATGCTTGTGTGATTATATGTGTATGTTTATTTATATGTACATGTGTGTTTGTGTGGGTGTTTGTTGTTTGTGTGTGTATGTTTGTGTGTGTGTGTGTGTGTGTGTGTGTGTGTGTGTGTGTGTGTGTGTGTGTGTGTGTGTGTTCGTGAAAATCTTGTAATAATGGTAATGGCAATAGTTAAACTAACCGTTTCCATTCACCTAACATTGGCCATTCATCGACTGGAAAGTTAGTGTCACCATGTTTCGGCTGATATTTATAAAAGCTTTCTGAAAACAGTTTTCAGGAAGTTAAACTTCACAAGTCTCGCCCAATCCTGCCCCCCGCCGCCGCCACCGCCGTTCTCGTTCTTTCTAGCGATGATGGGTGTTTCCTTCCAAACCTTTTGTTTAATAACGTGTGGAAAGCTACCATCTTGATTGTATTATTTTCCCTTCTAGTTACCTGTAATTCTGATTTTTGTTCTTGAAATCTTCGAGGCTTTAGTTATTTAGTAAATTTCTTAGCGATTTTGTAGCGTCAGTTTTTAGGTTTTAATGAAGAATTGTCTTCTTTAAGACTAAATAAGTTTGTCTTGCCTTTAAGTCAGACATTTTATTTAGGCCCATTTGTGCCAACATAACTGAGTGGGAGTCGTAACGACGTCAATCTCTGTATAGTAATGCATAATTCCATATATGTGGGTACGTCTGTCATTATATGGGCGTGGGGTGTACATATGTGTATGTATTAGACTTGTGTTTACGTATATACTAATCAGAATGTCTATCTTGTTTCGTTGTGAGAGAGCACAAATGTGTGTCTGTTTGCGTGTGTCTGTGTTGTTGCATCGACGTGCATCTGTATGCGTCTGTGTGTATGAGTTGAAGAGAGAAACAGTGTGTGTATGCGTGTACATGTTTGAGCACGCCCTCTGGCGGCTTAAAATTGATGAAGGGCCTCCGGACGTGTAAATGAAATAGTGCTAACTGTTGTCGGAAAGTAGGCGAATGAGACCAGGTCACCCAAGAGGGACGGAGAGAGGACGGATTGCAAGAGCCTCCATCTGGTTATGCAATCAGCCGATAGGCTGGTCACGTGAATATTAACAACCTAACTCACTTTTCTTTCTGTCTTTCTTTCTTCTTTTTTTTCTTTCTCTGTTTCTTTCTTTCTTTCTTTGTTATCCCTGGGATCTTCTTTTTGTTCTTTCATATTCCTCGCTCCTTTCTTTCTTTCTTTCTTTCTTTCTTTCTTTCTTTCTTATTCCTCTCTTCTTTCTTTCTTTCTTTCTTATTTCTCGCTTCTTTCTTTCTTTCTTTCTTATTCCTCGCTTCTTTCTTTCTTTCTTTCTTTCTTTCTTATTCCTCGCTCCTTTCTTTCTTTCTTTCTTTCTTTCTTTCTTTCTTTCTTTCTTTCTTTCTTTTTTTCTTTTCTTTCTTATTCCTCGCTTCTTTCTTTTCTTTCTTTGCTTCTTTTTCTTTCTTATTCCTAGCTTCTTTTTATGTCTTTCTTTCTTTCTTATTCCCCCTTCTTTCTTTCTTTCTTATTCCTCCTTCTTTCTTTTCTTATTCCTCCTTCTTTTTTTTTCTTTCTTTCTTTCTTTCTTTCTTTCTTTCTTTCTTTTTCCCCGCTTCTTTCTTTCTTTCTTTCTTTCTTATTCCTCGCTCCTTTCTTTCTTTCTTTCTTTCTTTCTTTCTTTCTTTCTTTCTTTCTTTCTTTCTTTCTTATTCCTCGCTTCTTTCTTTCTTTCTTTGCTTCTTTTTCTTTCTTATTCCTAGCTTCTTTCTGTCTTTCTTTCTTTCTTATTCCCCGCTTCTTTCTTTCTTTCTTTCTTTCTTTCTGATTCCTTGCTTCTTTCTTTCTTTCCTTCTTTTTCTTTCTTATTCCTCGCTTCTTTCTTTCTTTCTTTCTTTCTTTCTTTCTTTCTTTCTTTCTATTTCCGCGGTTCTTAAATTTCTTTTTCCTCATTTTTTACTTTCTTTCATATTCCTCAGCTCTTCCTTTCGTTCTTTTCTTTCTTTCTTTCTTTCTTATTCCTATGTTTTTACTTTCTTTCCTTCTTTCCTTTTTAATCCTCGGCTTTTCTTTCTTTCTTTCTTTCTTTCTTTCTTTCTTTCTTTCTTTCTTTCTTTCTTTCTTAAGATTCAAACGTGCTCATGCTCCGATTCTCTTTTACCGAACGTTGATGAATTCTTTCGTTTTAAAAGTTGATCAGCGACAGGAATTGCGAGTTGAACAAGCACGCATGCGCGTGGACACAAGTGTGTTACAAATTCTGTTCGCTTCAAATGAATTCCGATTATACAGTTGTTGGTAATCTGGGAAAGAAATAGCGGATTATTTAATATTTATGCAAAAAGAGTTACTTTGTATTCATGCATTGTTGACTCAAATTCCTCTGCCTTTATATGTTTGTCATGAGTAAGAGTCGTTTCATTGTTTATAAATATATATATATAAATATATATTGTCTTTTGTGCATAATTTTCTTATTAGTTCTGGTCATTAATTGAAGTATTTGTAATGTTTGTCAAAAAAAAAAAAAAATGAAAATCTGAATTATACTTTTTTTCTTTTCTTTTTTTTAAATCATTTCACCCCAGTACGCAGTCCGTCCTGGGTATGACGATAAACTATATCCGCATCCTGGGTAAGACGATAAACTATGTCCAACAGCAAGGCCTCTGATCAGAAGGCTTTGATGAGCATGGAACCATCTCTTAATTGCTGGTTTCCCCAGGTCCACCATGACCCAGGGTGGTAGTACCTGTTAGGGTCCCAGCT